GTGACCACACCTTGAGTCAGTGAGTCTGTGACCACACCTTGAGTCTGTGACCACACCTTGAGTCAGTGAGTCTGTGACCACACCTTGAGTCAGTGAGTCTGTGACCACACCTTGAGTCAGTGACCACACCTTGAGTCAGTGACCACACCTTGAGTCAGTGAGTCTGTGACCACACCTGGAGTCAGTGAGTCAGTGACCACACTACCCTGAGAAATGAATGTTAGCCGCACCTTTCAACAGTATTTTGTCTCTGGGAAGTTAACTTAGACACATCTTTAAGACGCCGTGCCGGTACCTTATATTTACAATATGGACTCAAAAACCATTATATCAACTGGACAATCCACCCCACCCCAACCAAACCACTCTTCCCCATCCAACCACCCCATCCAACCAAACCATCCAACCACCCCATCCAACCAAACCACCCCATCCAACCACCCCATTTATCGAAGCCTACATCTTCATCAAGTGGGGGAAGATGTGAAATGATATTCCGATGTGTCGAAGATTTCCCGAGGGGCTTTACAAACCGACTGCTTTATTTCATCTTCTTGGTGTACGTTTCCCTGAGAGTAGCCGACGTAAGTACACCTAGTACACACACACACTGATGGTGTCTGTTACATGGGGCTGACCTAGTACACTCATACACTGATGGTATCTGTTACATGGTGCTGACGTATACCCCATTTCCTCAACACATCCACTCTACTTCCCCCGCCGACATATCCATAGAATTAGGTCACTTGTTTGAATCAGCATGAACATACTCCGACCCCCCCCCACCCCCGGAGATGTAGCAGATCTGTATCATAACGGGACAGACCTAATCACAATTAGAAATCAGACCCCCATGCCTGACCCACCCCCGACCACGCCCCATTGAGAGGGAGCGCCCCTGTCGGGGGATGCTATGTGAGATCACGTGACGCCCGTGTCCCCGGACGCTGCCAGACGTGTCTCGCTCTAAATGAGACTCAGGGAGGGCTGCTGGGAATTCTCGGCTCGCTCGATGGGTCGGGACCGTGGGGGTGGCATTTCCGCTCCCCCACCCCGCTACATCCGCATCTGTAGTGATATCTACTTAGGGGCCGAACAAAATGTCTCTTTTCTTTTGTGTAACCGAGCTATTTTGCATACACACACACACATACATAGAGTTACATATTCACACACACACCCATACAAACATATATATATATATATATATATATATGTATATATATATATATATATATATATATATATACATATATATACATATATGGTTCCTATGGTGTTCTTCTTCGAATATTTGCTTCCATCACAGATCTGATGTTACACATTATCCTGTTAATGTGTCTGTTTCCTTCCGTCGTTACATTAACAAACTTTGTGCCTCCATGTCCTGCCATAGCCTCACCAGACCTGGCCTGACAGAGTTCCAGAAATCTCTACAATCCCAGGCCATCACAAGCAGACCTCTGGCATTTTGATTCCTCTCCTTACATGTCGATACATGCTTTAAGGATTGTCTTAAAGGATTGCCTTCTTCATCTTCCCCCCCCCCCCTCCACCTCCGTCCACTTCTATTTCCTATTTAGTTGTAGCCACCTGTATAGATGGTGTGTAGGATAGGGAACATGGTGGAACATTGACAAATATGGTCCGTGTGATAGGGAACATGGACAAATATTGTCCGTGGGATGGGGAACATGAGGGAACAAACAGGACGAGGCGTGGTCCCCGTGTTTGTTATTTGCCCAATAGAAATTCCTTCAATATTTATTGTGCAGAGTTTATTGCTACTCTGCTATCGCGTCTCTATGCATATGTCCGTTCTGCTTTATAACTTTCCATACAATGGGTTGACCCATACAGTGTTACCATTATGCAATTGTCTAAAACGTAGTGACTATTGGTTCTGAAAATGATTTTTTTTTTAAATTAATTAAATTCAATCGATTTTTAACGATTGAAAGATTTCCAACAATTGAATGTTGTAAAGAAAATAAAAACAAATATGAAGACCAATTTATTAGAATAATTAAACTAACCTAATCCTCGTCCCCCCCCCCCCCCAACCCCATCCACCTGACTTCAAACCATCCAACCTGGCATGTCTGTGTTATCACGTGAATCCTGGCCACTCAGTCACGTGATGGCCAGATTTAGCTCCCAGCACAAGTGTAATACTATGTGTCACGAACGTGCATGTCAATGTGTAACAGAATCCTGTAACAAGATCACAGTAACATTTAGAATTCGGTCACACGTTGCTAGGAGAGTGTACCTTACAGTATCAAAAATCACGATCTTTTCTCTAAGGGTCTTTGATTAATGACGTCATCTCCCTAGGGTGAGAAGAGGAGTTTGGAGTTGTGATAATTTGATATGTTGGGTGTGTGTGTGTGGGGGGGGGGGGGGGGGGGTGAACAATGTGTTGCATCATTTAGTGTGTATTTTACCAGACACGATTTGAAATTTCTACACGCTTTGTTATATTTCAATGCCAAATTGAAGGTGCCACATATATGCCTATCGAAACACAACCTCTTTATCAATCTAAACTCCTGTCTTTAGCTCTACCAACCCGACTCTACCCTACCAGTAACTCTCACATAACAACATGACTCTGGCCTTAGTACATCCAACACCCCCTCCCCCCCATCCCCCCAACCCAACTACCTCTACCAACTATCTTCACCCTACCTCTGACATAAAAAAATGAAACTGGCCTTACTATCATTCGCTCAGTTTCAAATGGTTATGTGATGGATTAGAGATGCTCAACAGTTCGCTTGTAATGATCGAACAGGTCCCTGGAGCACAAAGTACCCGACAAAATAACATTATTCGAGTATTGTGACTAGCGACTACTTTTTGCTGCCATTAGCTTGATGAGTTTGTGTTGCGGTTTGAAAGTTTAGGTCTTTCATTTTCTGAGATGAGTATAAGTCAAACGTTTTATAGTATAGACATCTGTCAAGTTAGGGACAAGTGGTGACAGTGTTGTGACAGTGTTGTGACAGTGTAGTGACATGTAGTGACAGTGTAGTGACAGTGTAGTGACAGTGTAGTGACATGTTGTGACAGTGTAGTGACAGTGTAGTGACATGTAGTGATAGTGTTGTGACAGTGTAGTGACAGTGTAGTGACAGTGTTGTGACATGTAGTGACAGTGTTGTAACAGTGTTGTGACAGTGTTGTGACAGTGTAGTGACAGTGTAGTGACAGTGTTCTGACATGTAGTGACAGTGTAGTGACAGTGTTGTGACATGTAGTGACAGTGTTGTAACAGGGTTGTGACAGTGTTGTGACAGTGTAGTGACAGTGTAGTGACAGTGCTCTGACATGTAGTGACAGTGTAGTGACATGTAGTGACAGTGTTGTGACATGTAGTGACAGTGTTGTGACATGTAGTGACAGTGTTGTGACATGTAGTGACAGTGTTGTGACATGTAGTGACAGTGTTGTGACATGTAGTGACAGTGTTGTGACATGTAGTGACAGTGTAGTGACAGTGTAGTGACAGTGTTCTGACATGTAGTGACAGTGTTGTGACATGTAGTGACAGTGTAGTGACATGTAGTGACAGTGTTGTGACAGTGTTCTGACATGTAGTGACAGTGTAGTGACAGTGTTGTGACAGTTTTCTGACATGTAGTGACAGTGTTGTGACAGTGTTGTGATGTCATTGCTGATTAAAAGCGTGAGACATCCACATGTGGTAAACACCAATGTGTGGTAAACATCAATGTGTGGTAAACATCCACATGTGGTAACATAAATGTGTGGTAAACATTAATGTGTGGTAAACATCAGCTTGAAATAATTGCTCGATTTTCTTGTCACAGTTCAGCTTAGGGACTTCGATCTGTGGGCTTTACTCTTAGGCTAGGTACACACGATACGACTGGGCCTGTGGTTTTACTCTTAGGCTAGGTACATACGATACGACTGGGCTGTAGTCTGGCCATTAATCGCTTGAGTGTATAGGGTGAGTGTGGGTGCAGCATACACGGCCGTAACTGTCTTTGTAGCGGTAAATGATGACGGTAGTGGGGGGGGGGGTAAATTTTGGACAGGTATTTCCTTCGTGATACGCCTGTGCTATGAATTTAGAATTTTACTTTTTTTTCCACTGTATTCTTTATTTCAACTTTTCTTGACTACTCCTCTCTCGTTTACATCATTAACGCTATGCTAAAAGTTTGTCCGGTTATAGTTTTTGTTATATTTTTAGCTTACTTTGAGATGACGTCACGGCATTATTTAATTAGATATGCTGTAACAAGACGTCCACCCTTCATCCTCTAAATGTGATTCCACACCCAAAAATTATAATTGATCAACACTTTTTATACAAATGCCTGCACACTATTTTAATATTTCCTATCGATATATAACATAGAAGTGAAATGAGGATGTATATACAATAACACAACCCCCAATCTCCGAATATCTACAATGTAAGCTGGTTTTGTTTACCAAATAAATAAACTGAACACCTCACTGCGTGTGATGAACGGCTAACTTTGATGAAAACATAACACACTGTACCACGAAGTTTACTTTGTGATTTATCTCGTTACGTCACGCTCGTAGCTCACGTCACGCGAGATTTGTCGCAGACAGCCGCAACTTGTGCCAACATCGAACGATGATTAAATTTGATTCCTGCCTCACAGAGCCGGGGAAAAAATCTTGTATTTACTCGCTGGGATGCTTGAGGAATCGTCTGCTGCGGTTAAAAGAATTTGCAGGCGGATTCTCATTTCTCTGGCACTTTTCCCGCCAAGTCAACACTCGCCTGTTCGATTCACGCAGTGCGGCATTGCAGTACCGTGTGTATCGTCCCCTGTTCGATTCACGCAGTGCGGCAGTGCAGTACCGTGTGTATCGGCCCCTTTTCGATTCACGCAGTGCGGCAGTGCAGTACCGTGTGTATCGGCCATGAGAGGCAGGACTGGTATTACTCGTAGGAAGGGGAGGTAATTGGCATTTGAGGGTCTGTAGCGTGGTGGGTGTCGGGGCTACCGACTGCTGTGGTAAACACTCGTCGATGGGATCAGTTCTTGGGATATTTACTTGGGATAATTTTTTAGGATATTTACTTGGGATAATTTCTATGATGTTTACTACGGATAATTTCTAAGATATTTACTTAGGATAATTTTTTAGGATATTTACTTAAGATAATTTCTATGTTTACTAGGGATAATTTCTAAGATATTTACTTATGATCATTTCTAGGATATTTACTTAGGATCATTTCTAGGATATTTACTTAGGATCATTTCTAGGAAATTTACTTAGGATCATTTCTTAGGATAAGTCGCTCGTAAACATGTGAAGACAGTGGGATATGTTTCTGTATTGGACATTGCTTGTGTATAAAATGATAATTTATAGGAATCAAGGATATCGGGATAATGTCATTTTTTTTCTGGATTGGATGAATACGTTATTAGGATAATTTTATATTGATATGATCGATTTTAATCTTATTTAGATAATGTATTAAAATTGCTTAATTAATGAGTTTCTCATATTGTAAATGATTACGCTGTTTCAATGCTATTTGGCGGTTATCACGTGGTGTTTTGATTCGTCCGGACATTGATATTTTGGTTGTGTCTATATCTCCCACCGTGTGTGCTACAATTGAGTTTGTTTGTATCTTATTTCCAAGAAGTTTTGTCGTAGTTAGAGTTAGGGATAAAGTTTGTTCAAAATGTGTTCATCATCACTAGCCTGTAGCTCTAGATGGTATCTGTACACTATGTTATGTACACATCATTGATTGATTTCCGTTGTACATAGTTGTACACTGCGCACTAATTAATTAAGAGCAAGCAGGATACATTTATTATAATTACATGAAACTTGAATGGAATAAATCTTCACCATAATTTTAGAAATAGTTTATGCAATATTTAATTCATAATTAAATAATTAGTTGACGATAATTTAACCGATATGTTGATCACCCCTTTAAATCTTAAAGAAATAATTACTGCAGGATATTTTATGAATATATTTATACTCAGTTGAAACTTACGATGTTGGTTAATGAATGATGGTATTTTAAAAACCTGAGTTGTAAGAAAATCAATCGATTGATCAAACAGGTTGATGCTTTCGCCTTTAACGATCTTTGAGTGAAGTATTGATGGAATAACTGTCGCTTAGTGTGTCAATCGGCTTGAAGGTTTTACGATGGCATCGCGTCCTATAGTATGCTAGAAACACAAACTATGGCGTTGTTCTATTGGCTTGTCTTTGTTCTGTTATGAGCTAGTTCTAGGGGATTGGTCTTTTGGCTTGTGGTAGTTTTGTTATGAGCTAGTTCTAGGGGATTGGTCTTTTGGCTTGTGGTAGTTTTGTTATGAGATAGATCTTAATTTTGTTATGAGCTAGTTCTAGGGGATTGGTCTATTAATTAAATGGCCTGTTGTAGTTTTGTGTTGTATGCATTTTGTTGCTGTTGATTGGCACCAACTGTACAAGTAACTGGGTTTAGACTGGTGGACTGTTCCAGAACATTGCCTGATTCTTACAGATCTTTCTAGAGCTGTGTGGCATTACTGCTTTGAAAATTGTTTTTTTTAGTGAATTATCTGGATAAGTGTCACATACATGTTTGATGGTTAGATGTGCTGTAGAGAGTACAAGGTTACAGGGTTAGATGTGTTATCGAAAGTACGAGGTTACGGGGTTAGGTGTGTTATAGAGAGTAAAATAATACATGGTTAGCTCTTAAGTGGAAAACGGTGTTGGTATTTCAAGAGTGTTTGAAACTTGTCCATTTTACCTTGTGGTATTGGCTATCTTTTTGTATATTTGAAACGTCTGATCAGCGGACAAGTCGTGTTATTCGATCCGTTCTCCGTGAACCCATCAAGGTTGTGGATGGGAATACCATCAATAATCAATACATCGATACACGACTAAAGTGGTAGTAATACCATCAATAATCAATACATCGATACACGCTTAAAGTTGTAGTTATCACATCAATAATCAATACATCAATACAGGCTTAAAGTAGTAGTAATCACATCAATAATCAATACATCGATACATGCTTAAAGTGGTAGTAATCACATCAATAATCAATACATCGATACAGGCTTAAAGTTGTAGTAATCACATCAATAATCAATACATCGATACAGGCTTAAAGTTGTAGTAATCACATCAATAATCAATACATCGATACAGGCTTAAAGTGGTAGTAACACATCAATAATCAATACATCGATACAGGCTTAAAGTGGTAGTAACACATCAATAATCAATACATCAATGAACTATGACGTGATGAACTATCCAGCATTCGGTGACGTTCAGATGGAATGGGTCATACCCCACCCCGGGGCAACTCTACCCTATTGAACAAGATCGATGGAGTTAATTAAAAAATCGATTACTTGTAGTAATTGTTTATAATTTTGTTGCTAGAATATCCATGGCAACAGAAGATGGGAGTGTTGAGGTAATTGATTTAAGCGTTGATGTGCATAGAATCTAGTTAGGTTTATGTGTTAGGGTAGTGATGTGAACTGAATCAAATTAGGTTTATGTGTTAAGGTAGTGATGTGAACTGAATCAAGTTAGGTTTATTATGATGGTGTTGTTCGGAAATTCCAGTAGTCTATCATCAGTTTAGTTCAGGTTCGGGTACAACTCGCATTAAGTGAAGCCTGTTAGTTGATTAGTTCGTGCAGGTATTGTTGTGTCTCCTAGTTTGAATATAACATGGAACTCTCACGCCACGTGATTATAATACGGCGGTTGTTACATAGGGTGTATATTATAAGAGGGTGTCATGTAGAGTGATATAACAGCGTGTTACATAGAGTGATAAATATTGAGTGCTGTGAAAATTATTTAAGTGCACAATTACGATACTGCGTATGTTATGCAAGTATAATGATCTAGTGATATTTCTATGATGAACCCAAGGCTTATCTATAATGACCTAAAGCCGTGTATATAATGACCTAATGCGACTTCTCTAATGACCTAATGACCTGCGGAAGTCACGCCCACCATGACCTAGACACGTGAAAGACACCAGTGCCTTCACTCACCATGGGACCTAAACTGTCCAAATTCACGGACACCGTGGGCAAACGGCTCTGTGCCCTCAACCCAGGGGCAGATAACCCGGGGGCAGATAACACAAGGGCAGATAATGCAGTAAATCAAAGAAACAACGGTGGGTGTCTGACTTTGGCCTTACCACGTGGTCACTATCTCAACAATTACTTGTTGCGCTATGTTTCTATTGTATTCTAGTTGCCCCGGTTAGAACAACGTGAAATGTTGGTGTGATGTGTTTCAAAATTGCTATGTACTGCACTGTATAAAATGGCATACGTCATTTTAACGTATATATATATATATATATATATATATATATATATATATATATATATATATATATATATATATATATATATATATATATATATACACCATAGACATGTTATAAACCTACACAATGTTAAAAAAGATCCTCTCTCAGCTAATTAAAAACTGTTTTGCCGTTTTTGCCGTAAGCCTTTCTATATTTAGCCACACGGCTGGAGCCGGCTGAAGAGTCGGTTCTGCATGTTTGGACCTCGATGTATCGACCGGCTGCCGGCACATCTATCGTGGGTCACGTGATTCAGGTCTGATTAAACCCACGGAGTTAAGCTGGTCTCAGACAATTGCAGGAGACCTCTACGGGAGGCAGCTTCTGTCAGGGCAGCCAATTTAAATACAGACCACTCTAGGCTTGCTCAGACCGTCTCGGTGCCAATTGGTTGCTCACAGTAAAGGACAGTCTTCAGCCAAACTCAATATACACACTCATCCACACTCAAACACACATACATACACAAACATAATAATATATGTAATATATATATATATATATATATATATATATATATATATATATATATATATATATATATATATATATATATATATATATACAATGTTCTAGTTCCCCACTAGATAGGCTGAGAACCCGCGCCTCTTAGTTTTGTACTACTTTGTAGCTAGTCTGTCCTCCATGTTGTCAACCGTGCCCCCCCACCCCCCCCCACATCCCCCCCCCCACCCACCAGATGTTTGTGAGACATGTTGCCGATCCCCTTCATTATTCCTCCATCTTTTTTTTTCCCTCCTCTGTCGTCTGCTCCAAGTTTGTGTTAGTCTCAACTGGCCAGAACACTTAGTCCTGACGTCTGTCTCTTGCTTTGGTTCTTCTACCCCCCCCCCCCACACACACTCACACCCCCCACACGCAATCACCCCCACACACACCCACCCACACACACACACACTCACACACACACCTCTACTGTCTGGCTCACCAATTATTCACCAACCAGCAAATAACATTTAACACATTTTTTCCCTCTCCGTTAACTGTATTATTTTCATTTTTTAAACTTCATCTTTAATGTTTTAAAACGTCACATACTTACTTCAATTGTTTGTCGATCTCATCAATGTCCAACTGGTCAATGTAAATTTAATCAGAGTCTGATAACTAAATGTTCATCTTATTTGGTTCCAGAAACCGGACACGACCCAGCAGTTCATGGTGCCAGACTAGAAGATAGAAACTACAATAACGAGGGCTTCAAGGTGAGTGAGTTCTTTGTGTATGTCCATATAGAAACTACAATAACGAGGGCTTCAAGGTGAGTTCTTGGTGTATGTCCATATAGAAACTACAATAACGAGGGCTTCAAGGTGAGTTGGTTCTTGGTGCATGTCTATATAGAAACTACAATAACGAGGGCTTCAAGGTGAGTTCTTTGTGTATGTCCATATAGAAACTACAATAATGAGGGCTTCAAGGTGAGTTCTTGGTGTATGTCCATATAGAAACTACAATAACGAGGGCTTCAAGGTGAGTTCTTGGTGTATGTCCATATAGAAACTACAATAACGAGGGCTTCAAGGTGAGTTCTTGGTGTATGTCCATATAGAAACTACAATAATGAGGGCTTCAAGGTGAGTTCTTGATGTATGTCCATATAGAAACTACAATAACGAGGGCTTCAAGGTGAGTTCTTGGTGTATGTCCATATAGAAACTACAATAACGAGGGCTTCAAGGTGAGTTCTTGATGTATGTCCATATAGAAACTACAATAACGAGGGCTTCAAGGTGAGTTCTTGGTGTATGTCCATATAGAAACTACAATAACGAGGGCTTCAAGGTGAGTTGGTTCTTGGTGCATGTCTATATAGAAACTACAATAATGAGGGCTTCAAGGTGAGTTCTTTGTGTATGTCCATATAGAAACTACAATAATGAGGGCTTCAAGGTGAGTTCTTGATGTATGTCCATATAGAAACTACAATAACGAGGGCTTCAAGGTGAGTTCTTGGTGTATGTCTATATAGAAACTACAATAACGAGGGCTTCAAGGTGAGTTCTTTGTGTATGTCCATATAGAAACTACAATAACGAGGGCTTCAAGGTGAGTTCTTGGTGTATGTCCATATAGAAACTACAATAACGAGGGCTTCAAGGTGAGTTCTTGGTGTATGTCCATATAGAAACTACAATAACGAGGGCTTCAAGGTGAGTTCTTTGTGTATGTCCATATAGAAACTACAATAACGAGGGCTTCAAGGTGAGTTCTTGGTGTATGTCCATATAGAAACTACAATAACGAGGGCTTCAAGGTGAGTTCTTGATGTATGTCCATATAGAAACTACAATAACTAGGGCTTCAAGGTGAGTTCTTGATGTATGTCCATATAGAAACTACAATAACGAGGGCTTCAAGGTGAGTTCTTGGTGTATGTCTATATAGAAACTACAATAACGAGGGCTTCAAGGTGAGTTCGTTCTTGGTGTATGTCCATATAGAAACTACAATAACGAGGGCTTCAAGGTGAGTTCTTGGTGTATGTCTATATAGAAACTACAATAACGAGGGCTTCAAGGTGAGTTCTTGGTGTATGTCTACAGTCGGTCCAAGTATTTGGTTGTGTAAAATATATAGTGCACCTTTTTATACCAAAGCGTCTTAATGGTGCAGCATTTTACCCCTTATGATTGAATAGTGCATCGTATGAAGATATTAAATATCAATAGTTGTGTTTTATTGAGACAAATATAGATAACTGGTATAAGGACAATGTTCTGATTTAACTGTAGTAGAGATTGTCAATCCAGTATTTGTATGATCAGCCACAATAGAGCCTACAACTGTAACATATGACATCTTACTTGGCGCGATACTATTGCCTCCTGTGCCATAATGAGCCATATTTAGCTAAAGCTAAACCTGTAATATGCTTGCCATATACTGCCCCTGCATATTTATTTATTTACGATAATAAATGACAATCTTAATACTGCCTTATAATGTCAGGTGTGCATTAGCCCTAAACCTTTCACCATTACCGTAGCCCCAAACCCACCCCCCCTTTACCTTGACCTCAGCGATAAGCCTATCATTCACCTTGACCCTAGCCCTAACCCTACCCTTGACCCTAGCCCTAACCTTGACCCTAGCCCTAACCCTACCCTTGACCCTAGCCCTAACCCTACCCTTGACCCTAGCCCTAACCCTACCCTTGACCCTAGCCCTAACCCTACCCTTGACCCTAGCCCTAACCCTACCCTTGACCCTAGCCCTAACCCTACCCTTGACCCTAGCCCTAACCCTAACCCTACCCTTGACCCTAGCCCTAACCCTACCCTTGACCCTAGCCCTAACCCTATCCTTGACCCTAGCCCTAACCCCCCCCCCCTCACCTCGACGCTAGCTAGCTCTAACCCTCCACCTAGAGCCTAGCCCTACCCTTGACCTTGGCCCTAACCCTACCCTCCACCTTGACCCTAACACTAACCCTTGACCTTTACCCTAGACCTAATCATATCCTTTACCCTGACCTTAACCCTAACCATACCTTCCACCTTGACGCTAACTCTTACCCTCCAATTGACCTTGCCCCTAACCCTACCCCAGACCCTGACCCCTAACCCTACCCTTTACCTTGACTCTAGCCCTAACCCTACCATCTACATTGACCCTACCCTTGGCCTTGACCATACCCCTACCCTTGACCTTGACCCTAGTCATATCACATGACCTTGACCCTAGCCCTAACCTTATCGTTGGCCTTGACCCTGAACCTGACCTTGACCCCTAACCCTAGCCTCCACCTGTCTCACCAGAAACGTGCAGCCGACCCAGGCGAGCAGCAGCAACAGCATCAGGCGGCCGTGACGGTACAGACCCAGTACAGGCAGCATGCAGCCAAACAGGAGGTGGAGGAACTCAAGGCTGAGGAGGCGGCCACCAAAATACAGGCGGGCTTCAGAGGGTTCATTGACCGAGAGAACGTCAGGAAGATGAAGTAAGTTGGTGGCCTTTCACCTCTGGTCTAGTCTAGGGTTGAACAACGTCTGGTCTAATCTAAGGTTTGACAACGTTAGGTCTAGTCTAGGGTTTCTCAATGTTTGGTCTAGTCTAGGGTTTGTCAACGTTAGGTCTAGTCTAGGGTTTGTCAACGTTTGGTCTAGTCTAGGGTTTGTCAACGTTTGGTCTAGTCTAGGGTTTGTCAACGTTAGGTCTAGTCTAGGGTTTCTCAATGTTTGGTCTAGTCTAGGGTTTGACAACGATTGGTCTAGTCTAGGGTTTGTCAACGTTTGGTCTAGTCTAGGGTTTGTCAACGTTTGGTCTAGTCTAGGGTTTGTCAACGTTAGGTCTAGTCTAGGGTTTCTCAATGTTTGGTCTAGTCTAGGGTTTGACAACGATTGGTCTAGTCTAGGGTTTGTCAACGTTTGGTCTAGTCTAGGGTTTGTCAACGTTTGGTCTAGTCTAGGGTTTGTCAACGTTAGGACTAGTCTAGGGTTTCTCAATGTTTGGTCTAGTCTAGGGTTTGACAACGATTGGTCTAGTCTAGGGTTTGTCAACGTTTGGTCTAGTCTAGGGTTTGTCAACGTTAGGTCTAGTCTAGGGTTTGTCAATGTTTGGTCTAGTCTAGGGTTTGTCAATGTTTGGTCTAGTCTAGGGTTTGTCAACGTTTGGTCTAGTCTAGGGTTTGTCAACGTTAGGTCTAGTCTAGGGTTTCTCAATGTTTGGTCTAGTCTAGGGTTTGACAACGATTGGTCTAGTCTAGGGTTTGTCAACGTTTGGTCTAGTCTAGGGTTTGTCAACGTTTGGTCTAGTCTAGGGTTTGTCAACGTTTGGTCTAGTCTAGGGTTTGTCAACGTTAGGTCTAGTCTAGGGTTTGTCAATGTTTGGTCTAGTCTAGGGTTTGTCAATGTTTGGTCTAGTCTAGGGTTTGTTAACGTTTGGTCTAGTCTAGGGTTTGTCAACGTTAGGTCTAGTCTAGGGTTTCTCAATGCTTGGTCTAGTCTAGGGTTTGACAACGATTGGTCTAGTCTAGGGTTTGTCAACGTTTGGTCTAGTCTAGGGTTTGTCAACGTTAGGTCTAGTCTAGGGTTTGTCAATGTTTGGTCTAGTCTAGGGTTTGTCAATGTTTGGTCTAGTCTAGGGTTTGTCAACGTTAGGTCTAGTCTAGGGTTTGTCAACGTTTGGTCTAGTCTAGGGTTTGTCAATGTTTGGTCTAGTCTAGGGTTTGTCAACGTTTGGTCTAGTCTAGGGTTTGTCAATGTTTGGTCTAGTCTAGGGTTTGTCAACGTTAGGTCTAGTCTAGGGTTTGTCAACGTTTGGTCTAGTCTAGGGTTTGTCAATGTTTGGTCAAGTCTAGGGTTTGTCAACGTTTGGTCTAGTCTAGGGTTTGTCAATGTTTGGTCTAGTCTAGGGTTTGTCAATGTTTGGTCTAGTCTAGGGTTTGTCAAACTCTGGTCTAGTCAAGGGTTTGTCAACGTTTGGTCTAGTCTAGGGTTTGTCAACGTTTGGTCTAGTCTAGGGTTTGTCAACGTTTGGTCTAGTCTAGGGTTTGTCAACGTTTGGTCTAGTCTAGGGTTTGTCAACGTTAGGTCTAGTCTAGGTTTCTCAACGTTTTGTCTAGCGGTCTCTTAACGTTTTAGAGTAGTCCAAAGACTCTGAATCTGTCTATGGCTCCTGTCATCGGGTGATCTTTCCGCTCTGGCTCTTTAGGCAGATGATCTTTTATCTGGGGGATCTTGGATGGCACTAGTCACGTGACGAGGGCTGCCCCTAAAAAAAATTGAATGACGTCATAAAATATATGCGCAGCTATCGGTGTTGACAAAAAGATGTTAACGAAAAGTTTGAAAGTACTCGAGCTAAAACATCTGATTGGTGAATGAAATGTTCCAAATAAACTAGCTCTAGCTGAACCTTCTACGCGATGTTCTGCTTTGATGGTTGACAAACCAAGTTCATATGATTAGAATATATCGACTTGGTCCTTTAATTGGCCCTGACATGTTTAATTATAAACCAACACTGTTATTGTCATGTGATTTTATTAGTTGGATTTTATAAAGTGGGTTCACGTGGGGACTTTTTGTAAATCTAGGTGAGATTTTTGGTGGATTATCCTAAGTTGATTTGTAGAGTCATCTTTAGAAGATTGGTTTCTTGGAATTTCTGTCGTTGAAGTGGGATGTGGATGTGGGTTTTCTGGGAGTTAGTTCAGGTGGTCTAGTGGTGTGAGAACAACACGGACATAGAACAAGCATAGGCTTACAGCCGACCACTTGCCTCAGGGTTTAAAAGCCTGTTAGATGTAGCTAAAGCTACCTTAGGTTTCTAGAGTTTCGTCACAACACGGTGCTGACTTTGCTGGAAGCGCTCACAGAGTTCCAGGACACATGGTGAGCAGATCTGATGCCAGATCATTTTAGTTCCGTTTTTTTTAAACATTTTTTTAACTGATTTTTGTTTCATTATTCTTGTAGCGATGCATCAAACACACTCTGTTTTGGTTCAACTATCTAATTATCTGCTCCGTCTCTCTCTGTCTCTGCTCCCCCCTCTCCCCCTATTCTAAACATAACCTGGGGAGTTCCACATCTGACCTATTTCCCTGCCCCTCAGAGTCCAGTCCGGAAAAAAAACCAAAATGCCAGCTACGGCTCCAGTAGACGGCCGGACTAGCCAGGAGTCTCAGTAAGAGAGGATTGGAACCCACGCCCTCTAGGCCGGCACCCGAGGCTGTCTTTTCATTTTCCGTCTCCGCACTCAAATATTCAAATGTTTGTCTGAATGAAGATGTTTTGTGTGTATTACGGCTGGGAATTGCTCTAAGTATCCTACAGCTGGTTTTTGATGGATGTTGTATTTTAAATAAAAGAATGCGAGAATTGTTTTAAAGGAAATATGTCTTTGGTTTGGACATATTTGACATAGCTGCCCTGTTAAATTGATAGGATCAAGATCCATATTTGGTGCTTCTAATGAAGCTGCCATCAAGATTTCTTTGATGTTGCTGTTTGATTGAATGCTTTAGGGTAATTTCGTAACTTGTTGAAATAATAAATTATTTGTTTACGTTTCCTCGTTTATCTAGATGTAGGTTATATTGCAAGGCGATCTTTAATCAACATTACATTTGTCGCTTGTAGGTGCAGTTCAAGTTTTATATTTTTTTCTATTTCATCCAAAACGTAGATTTATTCTACAGTTGCTCTACAGTATGTTCTACATTAAATGTTCGATATAGCCGTTGTAAGTTATGTTTTTTTTTTACTTCCGGTACATCATAAAGTTAAAATTACAAGTTCGTTGTACAAAAATGTCTAAAAATAGTTGGAACAGATACGGTTATAAAAATATACACACATCAATATTGCTATTTTAGTCGCATGAGTTTATGTTTATTGATCCATTAGGATGATAATAAACACTATGAGGGTAGTTAGTATTGGTGGCCAAAGGGCCTAGAAAATATAGTTACAAGGTTGATCTAGCGCTCTTTTCGTTTCACACCCCATACAATTGTTCGTGTTTAAATCCAGAGTTCAAAATATGTAACTTGAAATGTGTCAAGCTAGTTGTTCGTAATTCGTTTCTAATAACATATTCTCAAACTGTAAAACATAGCCCTAGCCACATGCGCGTTTGTCATCAAATTTGATTGAAATGTGCACGGAAGATCAATAAAAAATGTTCAAACATAAAGTCTTCATAGGCTCTTTATCTTTATTCCTTTTCAGTTGGTTCTTTTAATTTTGGCTTCAACAATTCTTTTACACCTTGATATTCTGTTTTGATTTTTTAACTTTATCTTCGTCTTTATTTAACTCTTAAAAGTTAACAAAATTATTGAATTATTCTCTTTAGTAATAGCTACACATTGTAATACAATTATAATATTATGAATTTTATACTTTATATTTTGTTTTACGTAACCATATTTTTTTTAAATATGACAATTAGCACAGTTTTTATGTTATTATTTTTTCAAGCCATCATTGTTTTTAAAGTTGTAATTTAATTAATCACTTTAACATCGCCTATGTCTACTCCCCATTTCCCATAGATACACTCGGCTACTATAGGCTAAATGTAATCTTGATTTGAGCTGCTGTAGAGGCTAAATGTAATCATGATTTAACCTGCTATGTTTGTTTTTTAGAAATGAACCAACCAAGGAGAAAGTTCGTCGCCACAAAGATCAAGATCACAAAGATCAGGATCACAAAGGTCAGGATCCTAAAGGTCATGACCTCACTGACCCGGCCTTGCAAGAGGCAGCGGTCAAGGTCCACTCGGGTATCAAGGGCTACAAGGCCAGACAGGAAGTTCAAGGTTCAGAGGTCACAGACGAACAGGTACGTCACTCGCTATCACTGTCACCTAGCTGGTCACATTTTTGTCACAATCACATAAGGCATAGAAGTGTCACTATTACAATCACATTCGGCACAGATGAGACACTGTATTTTATCCTATTTTTTCTTAGAAGTGTTTTTTTGTGTATTTACATCACGCTGAGGGATATACTGTGTTGACTAACGTAACACACTTTTAAATAGATGTGTCGTGTAAATGACCTGTGCTTCATATCCATCTTGTGTTGTTTGTTTTTAAAGGCAGGAAGTGGCGTGGTATATTTGTATCACCCCCAACCTCCCCCCCCCCCGCACCCTATGCCATACTGTCTAGATATATCTTAAGGGTACATCAGCTTCGCTGGTCGTAAACTACACTTAGTCATGTCTATTGTCAAGTTTTGAAATCTTTGACATTTGACACGTTGTATCCACATGTTGAGCTACTCATTGTCCTGTGGAATTCTAAACTTATTTTTAGAACCACGTCACTTCCTTCCCATAATGCAGATACAAATGTTTTATTTAATTTCCCAACTAAAAATACTAATTTAACTAATTATGTTTGTAATTATTAACTTTAATCTCGTTACAATGGCGTAGGCTAGACGTATTACGGATGTTCCATGGACCATATATATATATATATATATATATATATATATATATATATATATATATATATATATATATATATATATATATATATAGTTTATTATACCACTACTCCCCTATACCACAGTCTCGCTTACGCCACGGTCTCGATATGTCATTAATCTTCTTGAACAAATCAGTCTTGCTATAGTCTTTTGTCGATCTTTAAGAAATACGGGGAGGGGACCTTACTAAACTAGGATTGTGGTGTGTTTAATTGTGGGTGTGGAGACTTTAGGATAACAGTTGTAGGTGGGGATGGTTCTGAATGGTGATGGGTGTATATAGGATGGTGATGGTTGTATATAGGATGGTGATGGGTGTAAATAGGATTGTGATGGGTGTATATAGGATGGTGATGGGTGTATATAGGATGGTGATGGGTGTGTATAGGATGGTGATGGGTGTATATAGGATGGTGATGGGTGTATATAGGATGGTGATGGGTGTATATAGGATGGTGATGGGTGTATATAGGATTGTGATGGGTGTATATAGGATGGTGATGGGTGTATATAGGATGGTGATGGGTGTATATAGGATGGTGATGGGTGTATATAGGATGGTGATGGGTGTATATAGGATGGTGATGGGTGTGGTTTGCAATACATTGATGGCTGTAGCTAGATGTGGAATATAGGATGGATGAGGTAACTGGTCAATACGGTCAGGCTATTGTGTTTAGACTGGTCAATACACTCAGGCTATTGTGTTTAGACTGGTCAGTACACTCAGGCTATTGTGTTTAGACTGGTCAATACACTCAGGCTATTGTGTTTAGGCTGGTCAATACACTCAGGCTATTGTGTTTAGATTGGTCAATACGCTCAGGCTATTGTGTTTAGATTGGTCTATACAGTCAGGCTATTGTGTTTAGATTGGTCAATACACTCAGGCTATTGTGTTTAGACTGGTCAATACACTCAGACTATTGTGTTTAGATTGGTCTATACACTCAGGCTATTGTGTTTAGATTGGTCAATACAGTCAGGCTATTGTGTTTAGACTGGTCAATACACTCAGGCTATTGTGTTTAGGCTGGTCAATACACTCAGGCTATTGTGTTTAGATTGGTCAATACGCTCAGGCTATTGTGTTTAGATTGGTCTATACAGTCAGGCTATTGTGTTTAGATTGGTCAATACACTCAGGCTATTGTGTTTAGACTGGTCAATACACTCAGACTATTGTGTTTAGATTGGTCTATACACTCAGGCTATTGTGTTTATATTGGTCAATACACTCATGCTATTGTGTTTAGATTGGTCAATACACTCAGGCTATTGTGTTTAGATTGGTCAATACAGTCAGGCTATTGTGTTTAGATTGGTCTATACACTCAGGCTATTGTGTTTAGATTGGTCAATACAGTCAGGCTATTGTGTTTAGATTGGTCTATACACTCAGGCTATTGTGTTTAGATTGGTCAATACACTCAGGCTATTGTGTTTAGATTGGTCAATACAGTCAGGCTATTGTGTTTAGATTGGTCAATACACTCAGGCTATTGTGTTTAGATTGGTCAATACAGTCAGGCTATTGTGTTTAGATTGGTCTATACACTCAGGCTATTGTGTTTAGATTGGTCAATACAGTCAGGCTATTGTGTTTAGATTGGTCTATACACTCAGGCTATTGTGTTTAGATTGGTCAATACACTCAGGCTATTGTGTTTAGGCTGGTCAATACACTCAGGCTATTGTGTTTAGACTGGTCAATACACTCAGGCTATTGTGTTGTCTTGTAGAAGAAAGAAGGTTCCAGAAAACACACAATCGAAGACCCGGAGAAGGCGGCGGCCCTGATCCAAGCAGGGTTCAAAGGTCACCTGACCCGCCAAGAGTTGAAGGTTGGTTTGGCTAGATGTACTCACCATATTAACTTTTACTTATATCGGTTAAGGTTAGGATAATAGTAGTAGCCCATGAATTCAAAGTAAGCAAATAATATATAGATGTCTAGATATAAATAGATCATACACCTATTGCTTACTTAGTCTACCAATAGTCCTAATAATAGGATTCGAATGAGATTTAACTGAAGGACTGATGAAATTATTTGCTAGTAAACTGACAACAGCTGATGTAAATTTTTCACGGAATTATGTTCAGGGGACACAACCATGAAATTATTTATCTCATTTTCTGACTGATTTTTTTTAAATTGTAATATTAACGGTCTAACGCACACATCCAGAGTTTCTTTCAGGCATAAAAAAATGTCTGAAAGAAACACTGCACACTCCTCTTCCCATTTTACTACCTAATAACTATCTGCATGATGCTTTTAGAAAATAACCAACTAATCTAAGATTGTGTTAACTGTGTACAGCTAATGTCCAATCAGTTTACAGTTCGTTACAATTGGTATACAATTGGTAAACAATTGGTAAACATTTGGTATACAATTGGTATACAATCAGTATAGAGTAAGTCCGTTCAGTGCAGAACTAGATTAACAATTAAGATATATTTGTACTCCTGCTATGCTAATTAACCACTAATTAATTACTACTAATTGACTGAACAATATCCAAATATCCAGCCCATTTAAAACCATTTTTTTTAAATAACATAAGAACATAAGAATATACAATGCTAGTTAATTTGATATTAATAATTTGTTTTTTTTTAAATAAGATAAGAGTAGCATCCCCTGGACTAGTGCTAATGTTACAAATTTAGACTCACTAACAGATTACTGTACTAAAGTTAACATAAACATTACACATATAATATTCTTAAAATGTTATTAAATCCAAAATGAATATCATCTTGATGCTTTAACTAATTTATCTTAATGAATAGACCAAATTAAAAACTTAATGTGTGCATGTTTGAGCTTGTGTATGATGATGTGTAGGCCTAATGCTAGTTCTTTACTCACCGTTTCATGTGTATGTATGTGTGAACTCTGACTTCTAGAAGAAAAAGTTATCGCAAGACGTTGAGAGAAAACATAGTCACCAGGAAGAGAAGGCCGCCACAAAGATACAGGCAGAGTTCAAAGGTTATAAAGCTCGTAAAGAATTTCAGGTTTGTTGTTTCAAGACTTTAGTCTCACTAGGCAGACTTTTGCCAACAGACTTTTGCCAACAGACTTATGTCAACAGACTTATGCCAACAGACGTATGCCAACAGACTTATGCCAACAGACTTTTGCCAACAGACTTATGTCAACAGACTTTTGTCAACAGACTTATGTCAAACAGACTTATGTCAAACAGACTTATGCCAACAGACTTATGTCGACTTATGTCAACAGACTTATGTTCAGACTTATGTCAACAGACTTATGCCAACAGACTTATGCCAACAGACTTATGTCAACAGACTTATGCCAACAGACTTTTGCCAACAGACTTTTGTCAACAGACTTATGTCAACAGACTTATGTCAACAGACGTATGCCAACAGACTTATGTCAACAGACGTATGCCAACAGACTTATGTCAACAGACGTATGCCAACAGACTTATGCCAACAGACTTTTGCCAACAGACTTTTGTCAACAGACTTATGTCAACAGACTTATGTTCAGACTAATGCCAACAGACTTTTGTCAACAGACTTATGTCAACAGACTTATGCCAACAGACTTATGTTCAGACTAATGCCAACAGACTTTTGTCAACAGACGTATGCCAACAGACTTATGCCAACAGACTTTTGCCAACAGACTTTTGTCAACAGACTTATGCCAACAGACTTATGCCAACAGACTTTTGCCAACAGACTTATGTTCGAACTTATGTCTAATGTATTATCTTATAGACAGACTTATCCAATATGTTGTCTAATACACAGACTTATCCAATATGTTGTCTAATACACAGACTTATCCAATATGTTGTCTAATACACAGACTTATCCAATATGTTGTCTAATACACAGACTTATCCAATATGTTGTCTAATACACAGACTTATCCAATATGTTGTCTAATACACAGACTTATCCAATATGTTGTCTAATAGACAGACTTATCCAATATGTTGTCTAATACACAGACTTATCCAATATGTTGGCAACATTCAAATGAATATTAAAGTCTCTTTCTTCCATGATATAGCCCTACCCCCATCCCCACCTGTATGTTGATATCCCCCCCACCCCACTTGTAGGTTACCTCCCACAACCCTTCCACCCCCACCCGTATGTTGATATCCCCCCTCCCCTATCCATCCTCACCAGCATGGCGATACACCTTCCATGTTCAACCATGCATCTTCTATTCAATTTAAAGTACGCAAAACATTTTTCAATAACAGATGTCTTTATAAACCGTGACATATTTATGTACAAGATAATAAATATTTATTGTGCATGTTTGCAAGACGCCACATAATAGACAGGCAAAAGTTAACGATAATTAGAGAGATTTAAAAAAGTGATAATGTGTGGTTTTATTTCATTGTTCAACTTGGTGTGCTTTTTAGAATCGCTTGCTGTTCCCAACCCTGCTATGTGCCTTTAATTAATTAATTAATTAACTAATTACTTAATTAGCCATCAATGTGCTCACCATGCATGCTTTCCCATGTTAAAAAGTGTAACAATATCTGTAATAATATCTGTAACAATATCTGTAACAATATCTGTTTGTAATTGGTGCAATAACTAGGAAACAAAACAAATACAAAATAACACAAACAGCGTAACATAGAATACAATATACACACACACACATGCACACACACACATACACACATATACATATTTATATTTAAATATATATATATATATATATATATATATATATATATATATATATATATATATATATATATATATATATATATATATATATATATATATATATATATGTATATGTATATATATATATATATATATGTATATGTATATATATATATATATATATATATATATATATATATATAGGTGTGTGTGTGTGTGTGTGTGTGTGTGTGTGTGTGTGTGTGTGTGTGTGTACAACAAGCTAGCCAAACAATGAGTAAAATGTCTAAGATCTGTGATGTACACCACAGCACAAGAAAGCAGAGCAGGAGAAGAAGAAGACGGAGGATGTGAAACCTCCAGAGGCTGAGGAAGTCATAGACATCGACCTGACTGACCCTGATGTGGCTAAAGCCGCGGTCAAGATTCAGGCCAGCTTCAAAAATCTCAAACTGAAAAAACAAAAGGTCGGACATATTGTTTAAGCTTACAAAAAAGTTGGACATGTACTTTAAACCTACATTTAGTCAAAAGAAAAGTTAGCTGGAAAATATTCTTTAAACTTAAAACGAATAATTGTAATAAAGTACTATAAGGAAAAAAAAAACAAAAAAAAATAATTAAATTTAATATACCAAAACCTTGCTGTCTAGGCTTAGAATTCCATTCAAGATTGTTTTTCTACTAAAGCAAAGATTTATAGAAAAAACATAAATTTGGCATTTAGTAAAATGTCAACTAGCTGTAGTAGAGCTTTCAAACTTTGCTTTTCCAGCATTTGTTTTTTAATTGGCCAAAAACTTTGATCTTGTAATTTGATTTTAAATGCATTACAATTTCTAAATGTATTTAAATGAACTAAATTATCTTCTAAAACAAAAATATAATTCAGTATTTAATTCTCTGTGTTGCCAGGTGACTGACAGCGCCAGTTCCATTGCTGAGAGCGGAGCCAGCCTGGCACCAAGCCCCTCCCCCACACAGCAGCACGCCGCCACTAAAATACAGGCAGGTTTCAGGGGCTACAGGACACGCAAGGTGCACAACAGCAAGCACCGCGACGCCGGCAACAAGCACCACGACGCCAACACAAACAATAACAGCGTGGACATTGAGGACCCAGAGGTGGAGATGGCGGCGGTTAGAATTCAGGCCGGCTTTAAAGGAATGAAAGCCAGGAGAGAGATCAAAAACAAGATGGCGGAGAGGAAGAGGGAGGAGGGAGGAAGTTTAGAGGAGGGGGATGATTTTCCAGCCCCTCCTTCTTTTATTGAGCTGACTCAGGAGGAAGCTGAGGAGGAGGGATTAAATGATGAGGAGGATGTAGCGACAGAGAGGGAGGGGGAGGGGGAGGATGTAGCAACAGAGGGGGAGGGGGAGGATGTAGCAACAGAGAGGGAGGGGGATGGGGAGGGTAGAGAATCTAGGGTTGAGGGAGGGGAGGGGGAGGATGGCGAAGTTGAGGGTGGGGTGGGGGAGGATACAGAAACTGGAGTTGAGGGTGGGGAGGGTGAGACAGAGGAGGTAAAAGAAGAAGAGGAAACAGGGGAGGGGAACACGGAACACAATGAAGAGAAAACAGAAGGGGAGGGTGAACAGCATGCTGCTGATGAAAGTGAAGAGAAAGATGGAGAGGAAAGCAAAGATGAGCATTCAGCTAATGAGGCTGAGTCATTGTTTGATTAACAAGGCTGATGACATCACTAATTACTGCGTATACCCTGACAAAGACTGCAAGAAATGGATTCTGATTTGTGCTTCCCATTGTAAAAAAAAACAAAAAGCTGGCGATAGATAACTTATTAATTATCATTTGTAATTAGGTAGAAAATTACATGTCAATTAACTGTAGAGGTACAAACTAGTTTTTTAAAAATGTGACAGTTTTCCAAAAAAAATAATTGTAGTTGCTGATGAAGCAGCTAATTAATTAACAAAAGACAAGGACATTATGAACTGATGCCACTAGAAGTTTGTGTGCTGTTATAAAAGTTTATATTTACCAAACTTTTAAAAAGATTTTGAAAAAAAATTCGCCTCATTTAACGATAGCTATGCATTCAATTTAATTAAATATAAATGTATATTTTAATTAAATACCCATGTAATTAAGTTCAATGCATATATCAGGGTGAAAAGTTGATTTAAACATGTGATTTTGTTTAAAATGACTGGTCCCTTAGATGAAAACTTGTTTTTTTAATTTGAATCACTGAAATATTGAGTAATATTTTTACTGCACAAATAGTTTCTTCTGTAAGCATGTGTTATGTCAGTATTTATCTTCTACTTATGTATATCAGATGACCTTGGTTGACATTTGCCTAGGCAGTGTCAAGGTGACGTCTGATGTCATGTTGACCATTGCGGGTGACAGGTGTCATTGTGACATGTGTTTGATGGTGACAATGTCATGTTGACATTTGCTGAGGACACTGTCCTGGTGACATCTGATGTCATGTTGACAATTGCTGGTGACAGTGGTATGTCAGTAACATGTAGTGACATGTGACATTGGCACTGAATTAGGCGTAACATATATCTGCTGATGAATATTGGTTGAGAGAGGATTGTGGACATCAAAACTCCAGAACTTGTATCAAATTCAATTCAATCTTTAAGATCAACTGAAGTGTAAAATCAACTTTTGTAAAGAAAAGTTAGCAATGTGTATCATAAGACATAGTCCATGGGTTTAAAAACATTTTTGGTTGTTTATTTACATGTATTTGATAAGAAAATGTATCACTTTATAGGCCTACTATCTATACTTTACAATTTGGTGAGAATCAGACACAGTTATGTCATGTGTGCAGGGGGTTTGCGAAAATTGTTACATTAATTTGTGTTGACAACTGAAGCAGTTATGTAACAACGAGGCAGAAATTTTCTGACTATCCATTCCTTTTTTATATTAAACATTCTAATTATTTAAAAAGATCTTTACTTTTTTTTTTTAAATTTATTTTCAAATTAGGAAGTACATCTTTAAAAAGAAAAAAAAAATGATTTTTCAAATTTAGGAAGTACATCTTTATCAAATAAAAAAAAATGAATGTATTACAATATGTTTTGTATTAACGATTAATTTATTTTGTACTCCCCTTTAATGTACGCAAGTTAGTTACAGAATTTCTGTATGTTACTTCCCCTTGTAGATTATCTTCGAGTGATTCACATTGCATTGCGTGCGAGGGGAGATAACTCACGATTATTTGATACATTGTTCTATAAGTTTTTATACCTGTTTTATTAGCAAATTATTTGTTTCATTTTTTATGATATTTATAAGAACAGATTTAAAATATTGTTTGGAGTTTTCACAGAGAAGCAAACACGAAGACGAACTATTAATAAACCTTTACAATATTTTACAAAATGTTAATGGTCTTTGTATTATTTCTTATCTTTCTGCGAGTTATATTTTTTATTTTTAAAATTTTATGAACTGAGAGTTAATGGCCTTGAATTACCAAGACACTGTTTTCTCAAACAACAGAACAGGAAGTGTAATAAAACAAAACCTGTATAATATATATATATATATATATATATATATATATATATATATATATATATATATATATATATATAATTCTCTTCATTGGGACCATGCGAGAAACCATCAAGGCGTAAGTTTAACAGACCATATCACTACCACCCACACCAGTCAGGTGAGCTGTTTACAATGATATTAGCTCAAGAATGACATTAGCTCAACAATAACATTAGCTCTACAATGACAAAGTTAGCTCAACAATGACATTAGCTCTACAATGACAACATTAGCTCAACAATAATATTAGCCCAAGAATGGTATTAGCTCTACAATGACAACATTAGCTCAACAATGACATTAGCTCAAGAATGACATTAGCTCAACAATAACATTAGCTCTACAATGACAAAGTTAGCTCAACAATGACATTAGCTCTACAATGACAACATTAGCTCAACAATAACATTAGCCCAAGAATGACGACGTTCTTTAAGTGTGGAGGTACGGAAGTTAATCCTCAACTCTTCATTGTGTGTTTGTGTGTGTGGGGGGGGGGGGGGGGGGGAGGAGTGGTGAGTTAGAAAACTATGTGTTATTTAAGTGTGAATGACATAAGCCTCATGTCAATTTTTAACAGCTAACTACGAAGGATGGTTTTACGTATCGCCCATCTACTACTTTACGTTTGTATGGCCACTAGCTACATCAGGCCAATTCACGTTTGTATGGCCACTATTACATCAGGCCACTTCACGTTTGTATGGCCACTATTACATCAGGCCACTTCACGTTGGTATGGCCACTATTACATCAGTCCACTTCACGTTTGTATGGCCACTATTACATCAGGCCACTTCACGTTTGTATGGCCACTATTACATCAGTCCACTTCACGTTTGTATGGCCACTATTACATCAGGCCACTTCACGTTTGTATGGCCACTATTACATCAGTCCACTTCACGTTTGTATGGCCACTATTACATCAGGCCACTTCACGTTTGTATGGCCACTATTACATCAGGCCACTGTGTTTTGTCTCAATTTATTACCCCCCCCCCCCTCTCCCCACTAATCACAAAAGCCCAAACCTCCAATCCCTCTCTTCAACCCATACCATTGCGACATTGGGCAGCCCCTAGTACAGAACGAAGTCAATGTCAGGGGTTCCCAAAGCAAACGACAAGTTTTCTTGTTGTTTAGTTAAGTCAGGGAAATTTTTCTTGCACGGCCATGCGAAGACAAACTTCCTGTTCAATCTTTCTTCAAGTGTAGGCCTACTTCCTACAGGGACAATAGACAATCGTGTTTAAAACGTTTAGCATTATTTCTTAAGAGGGGGGGGGGATGAATGGGGTGGGGGGGGGGGGGGGTCCACAGCGTAATAAAGATGTATTTTAAAGTTGATTTGGTTAACAATAAACCAGTCTGTGTTAATATACATTCGATGGAGGGGGTGGGGTGGAAACGACTAAATTCAAGTGTTGCAGAACTGAGTAGTGGAACTTCCACTGGAATAACTTCTTCCATCAACTGACATCATGAAAAACATCTGTAAAAAAATATTATATGATTATTTTCAATGTATCTACACAATCACATTTTGTGTATGCCTCTTCAACCCAAAGGAAAACGATTAAAAAAACATTACTGTTAGTCTACTACTAGATACACTTAAGACGAAAGAGAACAAACAGACAAGAACATATTCCCCTGGGTCGACCTTTAGGTCCAACTGTTTAAAGTATTGAAAGCTTGAGCCATTCTACCCGTATAGTAGTCCGGTCTGTGGTTGTGTCTGCTGATTATGTGATACGTGATACAGCATACAGCTTACAGCATATAGCATACAGCATATGAACAAGTGCACGGTGTACTTAAAATTAGCAGAATAGTAAACATGGTTTTCAGTTAAAGTTGTGTTTATAAAATACTTCAGATTTGTAATGAGAACGTCGAAAGCTAACGATCTAGTTATTATTAAATTATATTTTTACCTTATTAATACTGTTGCTTAATAACATTTCACTATATACAGTACGGCAGGTGTAATATAATTTTTTTTCGCATGCATTATGACAAATATAACCTTTTTCACTCAAGTGGGTATAACATGGTAGTTTAATTACGACTAATGATCATTGTTTACGTCGATACGACAAAGTTAACGCTTCGCTGATTCCTTTAATTAACCTATTAATTTAAATCCCTGTTATGGAGGGGGGAGGAGGGGGGTGAGGATCTCACACGTGATCAGGTTCCAGGATTGGTTCAGCCAATCAAAACACGCCACGGTTATTGTGTTATTAGCAGGTGTGGCGCTACTGTCTTCATGCACCATTGAGAGCTGAGCGACCTAGCATTACTGACTGAACACTGCCTGATTCCTGACGTCAACAAAATGGGCGACTACTCTACAGTAGGGACAACTTGCATGATTGGGGGTTACCGAACTTTGCGTGCTGAATAGGTCAACAAACAAACAGGCGGGATTGTTTATGTGCTGGTGGGGAATGTCAAACGGCAGACAAGAAATCACAACACCGGTCGCTAGAGTGTAAACACTTTGGTTGACCGAGCTACTTAAGCGTGACGGCTAGTTCTTGCTGGATCTCGCGCGTCAGGACATTTGATCGTCTGCTTCAGGACATTTGATCGTCTGCTTCAGGAGTGAACAGAAGGCTAGGCTCACGTCTGCTGTATCATGCAGGGCCTCGCGCGGTTGAGGGAGTTTATCAATGGGATAAGAAATAAATTCAAACAAAAGTCTAGATCGGGTGAGTACATTCACATGCATGCTGTTTTTTTATGTTGGACTTCTAAGTTTATCTGTGAGCAAGAAATGAGAAAATCCTGTTTGTTTCTGGGTTTTTAAAATATTTAAACAAAATACCATTAGCGCTGCAGTGTACGAATAATTAACCGTTTTTTTTTTCAATTGAATCTTTGTTTTGCTAAGTTTCTTATAGTTTTTTGCCAGAAACTGAATTTGGACAATAATTAGCCAATCAATTACCGACAGCTTAATTTTGCCCATAAATGGTCAACACGCGATCAACAGCTTTTTCGATGTCTTGTATGACGAATGTCTCTTTTTTTAATTGGTGGGGGGGGGGGGGGGGATTAACGAAAAGGTTTTTACACATACTTAGTGATTGCCGAATTCATTGATCTATCTCTCTCTCTC